ATGAGTAAGGGGCAGCAGGAGTGATGTGTGTCTTGTTGCCCTAAATCGGGACCAGGAGCTACTCAGTTGCTCTAGATGCATTAGTCAGGTCCCCCATGACTCTCCACCTCTCCTCCCTGTGCTGTCCATATGCCAAGCACAACCCCACATCTGGCTATCTTGTCCCGAGAGCCCCAACTGCTTTCTATAGGACTTGTGCTCGGCCCATGCAATGAGGACCTGCCACCGAGGCTCTTCTGAATACCCCACATATATTCTGTCTCCGTTTCCTCAGCCAGCTTAGACATCAGGCCAGCACTGGCCAATGGTGGGGGGTGATATCAGCCCATCCCCACCCAGGGCTGCCGAAGCCAGTGGGGTACAACCCATAGGCTCTAGCACAGTGCTGAAGTGTGGTACCACCTGGCCTCTTTCTAATGTTTTGGACCTCCAGTATATCTCAGAGACTGGGATCCCTCTCCATGCCAACTCAAAGTCCTTGTCCCCAAGCCTGAGCCAGGAGCCTAGGCAGAATGGCTCCCACAGCTTCTGGGCTTCCCTGCTGTTCCAGGTCTGCAGTCCAGGATGTGTGAGCAGGATGTTCCTGAGGTAGGGGTCATGTCAGAAGGGCATGCTGGCTAGGACTGCCAAGAGTAGGCTAGAAGCCCTCTGTGCTACTCCAGTACTCATCTTGCTACTCTCTGCTAGGCTCCACCTCAGTCGGCTACCTGCTACTACCTCCCTCCCATGTGCCCCATGGGAACCCTTTTACAGTACCCCCACCTCCTCCCCATCTGAGAGGGGATCCGGGACACTTGGAAGGGTGCCTTCTGTTTCTGGCTTCTGGTCTTGATTTCTTGTTGCCAGGGACCCTTGGGCTTGGACCTCCAGCCTGACACCTTCAAACAGTACCCTATCCCTGTGTGGTCCGGGAAGTCACAGGTCACTCAGCTGTGGCAACTGCTTCTATTCTTCACCCAGGCAACGAGAGGACCAGCCTGAACATCACTTGCCTTACCCACCTCTCCTCCTACTCTGCCAGGAAGCTGGGTAGGACCCCAGGAGCTTCCACAATTTCCCGGAATCCCCAACTGGTCTTTTGTGACACAGGCCCCTAATTATACTTGGCTGGCTGGATGAGCAGGGCTCAGTACTGCCCTTTTCAACCTGGTCTGGATACTTCCAACCGCAGTGGAGGAGGTGAGTGGGAAGAGAGGTAGGTGACCCGGGAATGCCCATGCTGGGGCTGGAACCCGCAGGGTTACCATCAGGTCCCCTTCAGTAGCTCCCTCTAGGCTTTACTCATTCATGGTCAATTATCCCTCTGATGACCTAAGCTGTCCCCATCCCTGAGCTCGGCCTATAGGTGTGACCAGAGACGAGTACAAGAGCCTCCACCCCTGTCCTGAAGGAGCTCACATCCTGGTACGAGGCAGACACAATCCCACGGCTCAACACAGGAAGGTAGCACGTAGCAGGGCATGTAGCATTGCAGCAGGTAGCAGGGCAATTAGGCCTTGGCTGAGCACCTGGAGAGGATATTCTGATTCTGATGTTAGGGAAAAATCAAACATCACAGGGCAACAATTCCAGGCGGCAAGAACAGGGTGTGAAAAGTCCTGAGGCACAGGGTACAAAGCCTTCTGAGGGATAGAAACCTGGTGGCCTAGGTGAAGGTAAGGAGTTAAGGCTCAAGCTAGGTGGACAAAGCCAGATGGAAGAGGCGTGGTGACAGGAGGAGAGTTCTGCCTCTAATAAGTGATGGTCATCAAAAAGCTGGTGGCGGGGCTAGGGATTTAGCTCAGTGGTTCTGTTGCCTATCTCGTAAGCTCAAGGTTGAGTTCGATCCCTGGTACAAAAAAATAAAAATTAAAATAAAAAAAAAGCGGGTGGCATGTTTCAACTGAAAGTGGTACAGGAACAGGCTGGGAGGAGTGGGAACAAGAGGTGACAAGTGACTTCAAGAGAGACGCTGGGAACAAGTGGGCTCAGTAGGATCCCGATGGTCCCCCTGCTGCTTCAGTGAGATAGAGGAAAAGGTCTGAGGCTTCACGGTGGCAGTGATGCCTCAGCCATGCTCTAAACCAAACTCCTGAAGACACCCAGGCTGGCCTCCCTTATCCCCACCCTGTTGGCTCCTGCGCACTGACTCAGGACACGGGGGCAGGAAGTCACAGCTGGCAAGGCTGGCTCCTCCAACAGGTCAGGCAAGTCCTCCTTGCCTCAGGTAGAGCCACCTGGACAGCTCTGTCAGGCAGGAGCATCTTGCTGTCCACAGTAGAGCACAGGCTGGGAAATGGGGTCATGGCACCCAACACAAAGGGTTAGCCAGTACTGGCACAGGCCTGACCTTAGGCCTCATAAAGAGACTGACCTAGGTCTGGGTTTAGAATGAAGGTGAGCCCCAACTTGGCAGAGGGCCAGATGTGGAGAGGCCAGTGCTTCTCCCACTCCACAGCCCATGGGTGTTACCCTGAAAGCCAGATGGAGAGGCCAGTGCTTCTCCCACTCCACAGCCCATGGGTGTTACCCTGAAGGTACCCTGGGTGTTACCCTGACCTGGGCCCAAAGTCATAAAAGGTCAAGAGCCCAGATCTGCCCTACCCTCCAGCCCAGGTCCCAGAATGATGGCACCAACTGGGTTGAGAGAGGGGTCTTGGGCCTGTAATAATGCTACCAGCCCTCCTAATGCTCCTGTGAAAACACAGGTAGAAGGCCTGGGGTGAGAAGCTCTTGGCCTCCTCCTCTGGTTCCCACAAATCTTTCCTGCTTCAGGCCCCTTCCCATTGTCAGATAGCTTAACATTGCCCCATCCAAACCAGTCCAGGTTCCGGGAATGTCTGTGACCTTTGGACCAGCCCTGCCTATACACTCTAGCTCCCTCATCTTAAAGGGTCTCTGGGGTGAAATGCTGAAAGCAGCAAGGAAAGGTTGGGCAAACTCTGTAGGTCTCCTGAAAGCTGCCCCTGAGCCTCTGGGTGGAAGGGGACCTGTATGAGCCCAGGGCATGAGATGAGGCTCGTGGACACTAGGCAGAGCAAGGGGTCTTTCTTCATCAGTGAGAAGTGGCTACAGAGGCAAAGGGCTTCAAGGCTATCAAGAAGGTCTGCTTCTTTTTTTGTTTTTTGCAGTACTAGGGACAGAACTCAGGACCATGTGCTTACGAGGCAGGCACACTGGCAATGAGCTAAATCCCCAACCCAGGAAGTTCTGTTCCTTGAAGAAAATAAGGCTAGAGAATCACAGACACCCTTCTCCCTCAGGGCATCTGGGAATATTCCCAGTGGCCTCAGAGGACACAGAGCTCAAGAGAAGAGTACAGAAACTGCATGACCAGAGGCCACACAGCATGGACTGACAACCCAAATGCTTCTGAGCCAGTTAGCAAACTCAAGTGTGTGAAGTGCCAGGCATGAAACAACAGGGAGAAGTAAGGAAAGTGGTGACCCACGAGCTCAAGCCTTGGCCTGAAGGGGCAGCTGCCATTGAGCGAAAATTGAGACTTCCTGTTCAAAGCAAGCTGGGAAGCCCCGTTTTAATGTGAAACCACCTGATTTTTCAGTGCTGGCAATGGCTTCAAACTTTTTAAACTGCCACACAGGCCAAACAAAACATACCCAAACCAGCTCTGTCCAGGAACAGAAAGGTTTATAGCCATGACCCAAGAAAATGTGGGGTGCAGAGTCCTGCCTGCCCTGGAGAAAGGACCCTACAGAAGCCAATGAGCTGAAAGGGGACATCTGTCCCGACAGATCCTGCTTAGCCCCTGACAACTAGACACAGAGGTCATCCTGTCTCCTGGAAGAGTCCTCCAGAGACTACACAAGTCCCCAGCCAGTGTGGCCCTGCTTTTGGGAAGACCCTTCCGACCTCCAAACACTCAAACAGGCCTAGCCAAAGACGTGGGCTGCAGGCTGGGCAAGAGAAGATGCGGGTACCCAGGGCCTCTCCGGAAGTTGGGATCTGAGCTGGGTCCCCAGATGCTCTTAGGCTTGACTCTGACCACAAATACAGAGGGGGAGGAGGGCAGAGGATCTTCCTGGAATCCTCCAACGCAGGGGAATTTTCTGGACCAGTTTAGTCCCCAGGCCAGCCCAATCAAGAGCCACTGTCAACTGAAGCCCAGGTTCCACCCACTGTTGTAAGGTTCAGGACTTGAAGCTGTCAAGTAAGTGGGGGGGGCCTTCCCTTCCTGTGTCTCAGTCCTCCATAACATTTGGGTAAAGGGTCCAGCAATGCTACTCCCTTAAGCCTGCAAACTCAGTGTTAGTCGTAGTATTTAGGAGGAATTTTCCCCCCAGTAAGAGGGATTGAACACAAGAGCTTGCACTTGCCAGAAAGGTGCAATATCAATGAGCTACATCTCTGGACCTCTTTATTTTTATTTTTTGAGGCAAGGTCTTGCTATGTAGCCTAAGACAGCCTTGAACTCATTGCGTAGTGCAGGCTGGCTTCAAACTCACGGTGATTCTCCTTGCCTAGGCCTCTGGAGTACCACCACACCTGGCTTAGAGGGTTCTTTCAAGGGCTTTGTGTGGCCTGAAAGTTTCTGAAATTGGGATTAGCTACCAACAATAACACATTTGAGAAATTTCATCTAAAAATCTGGATTTTGGAAAATCCTTCCCTCTGACATGCTAGTCAGGTCATGGGGACTGAGGCCATGCCCCAGACCCCACTGCTACAGCCCCGCCTCTCCAGGTGTCCAGACCTGGGGGCACTTGCTTGTGTTTCTGCCACCTGGCAGGTGTCTCAGAGGAATCGGGGCAGTAACTCTTGGTGTCACCCAACATACGCTTGCTTTTTACGTGAACAGCAGGAACCTACCCAGTGTCAAACAGCAAACTAGGGAAGACTCGGTCTCCTGACTCCTGCAGAGGTCGGGCGGTGGCGGGGTGAAGCTTAGGCCAGCGTGGCCCAATGACCCCCCCACCCCGTCAGCGGAGGGGGCGGGTCTCCGACGGCCCCGCCCTGGCCAATGGGCAGCAGCCCCGCCCCTCGACTCTTAAGGCGCCACCCGCCCACCCCGGAGCCGACTCCAGAGCCCGAGCCTGAGGCGGGAGAGGGAGACTAGGTCGCCTTCTGGCCCGGCCGGCCGCGAAGGACTGAAACGGGGGCCTGCCCTGCCTAGCCCCCTGAGCCATCGCTGCCACCTCCCGGTGAGTGAGGGCCGGGGTCTGTGGGTGGGGGCATCAGGCAGGCTGTATACTCGCTGTGCACGCATACACTCGCACTCCCTGGTGGGCCAGCCCCCCACATCCCCGCCCGCCTGCGTGGTCACCTGGGCTCACCCAGGCGGACGACCCCCCCTGTACCCCTTCTCAGAGTCCTGGGGCGCCTCCAGCTCCAGGGCTAGCCAGCTTGCCAGGGTTCGTGTGTGTGTGTGTGTGTGTGTGTGTGTGTGTGTGTGTGTGTACATGGCTCACTGGTCGATGAAGCTGCAAGCAGACAAAATAAACACCCCCTCCCTCGCTTCCTCCTCCCACGGCTGGGCCCTCCGGCATGACCAGTTTTATGAATCAAACCCCTTTCAGGGGCTGGCCCAGCTGTAGTCTTTGGTTACTTTTCCCTCCTAGGGTCAGACAGTCCCCAGTGCCTGGGCAGACCAGTTGCTTAGGGTCCTCTGAGCCTTGACATTTATGGTAGAGCTGGGGGCTACAGACATGCAGCCCTGGGGAAGGACATGGGTTACAGAAGTAGGTATCTCATGTCCCATTGGCCTGCCAGGCCCCTTCGTGCTTCAGGTGTATCTCTGCTTTTGCCAGAGATGAGGCTTTGCTTGGGCTTTGAACCCAATGGCCTGGAGCCAGGCTAGTTCTTTGTGTCCCTGGGCTGGCAGTGCTGGGGCCTGCTGAGGTCCCCTGTGGTCAATGGCAGGCTAGCTGATTGGGCCAACCATTCTGCCTCACTCCCATTTTAACAACTACACACCAGGGATCCTGACCCCCTCTCCTGCTGGGGCCCACAGGCAAAGTCTGCTGGGTGGAAGAAGCCCCAAGAGTCTAGGTGTCCCGTGACTGCCTTATGCCCCAAGGTGAGGATTCAGGGAGAAGCACCAAGACCAAGAGCCCTTCTTCCCAGGCCAAGTTCCTGCAGGACCAGGGACTGGAACAAATCCCAAAGGTCCTTTCCTTTTATCCCAGACTTTGGGTGTTGGGGACAGCGGGGTGGCTGAACTGGTGCCCTCCAAGCGAACTCCATTAGAGCCGGCTCAGTGGACAGTGAAGTCTAGCATGGGCCCAGCTGTTGGCACAGTCCAACAGAGCAGGGGCAGACCGGTAGGGGGATGGAACAGCAGTCCCCTGAGTTTACTGTCTTCTCCCAAGGGAATCAACCCCCAGAGCTTCTGTAAACAGAGTGTCAGAGGCAGGAAGAGGGCTCTGGTAATGAGCAGCCCAGCTGGATTCCCTCCAGACCATTATCTAGCCTCTCCCAGTCCAGGGAACGAGGAAGGACCTGGGAGCACTATGTGCCAGCCTGGGGGCCTGGGTACTGGCTGTCCCCACCTAACCCAGCTTCTTGGGGGAGTGAGGCAGAATGGGTGACACTGGAACGACTACCCGAGACCTGTGGGGTCCACAAGGTCAAGTGGGGGTGGTGACGTCATTCTCTCTAGACTCTGGAAGTGGGTGGAAGGAGTTCGGCGCACAGAGCCCCTCAGCACCCAGACAGCACCTCTAGCAGACAGGACAGAAGAGGGCCCACAGTTCTAACTTCCATTACTGACCCCCGCCACACAAGCAGCCCTAGTGGAGTTGGGACAAGATGATTCAGGTGATGAGAGTTAAGTCCTTAGTGTGTGTGTGTAGAGGTGATAAGTGGTCCCCAACCTTGGTGCACAGCCCCTGGGAACAGAAAAGTGGAGGGACGGGGCCCAGGAGAGGGCTTCCACCTCAGTAGCCCAGCTAGTCCCCCTCAGTGAGCAGAGAGAAGGCTGCCTGCAGAGGTATCCCTGGCCACTGGTCCCTCTCAGAGCCCCTCCCTGGCTGGGAAGCCCAAGGCTCAGTGTTGCCAAGAAAACCAGCTCCCCTCACTGCTATGGAATTTGCATGAGTTCTTGGAGAAGAGGAAAGGGGAGGGTGTGTGTGTGGGCGTGCGACTCAGTGGGGGTGTGTGTGTGTGTGTCGTGGGTGTGTGTTTCTGCGCGTGACTGCAGTAGGCTGTGTTTTAGTCGTGCAGGGGTGCTTCAGCAAAATCGGTGCAGTGGGGAGGGGCGCAGGCTCAGCCTCCTTCCTTTTATCGGTTTCTACATTCCAGAGTCAGCCGGGTTGCCCAACCCCTCAGGCAGCCAGGCCACCTCGGTTTTGGGGGGTGGGGACAGGCAAGGGGCCAGTTCTTGTCAGGGTTGGAGATGGCCCCCACACCAGGCTTCTCCTGGGGAATGCAGCAAGCCTCTGACATTCCTGGAGGCTGCCTGAGAGATTTCATTAAGGAGAGAGGAGGGAGCTTCGGCCTGCTTTGAGAAGGGCCTGGTGGGCAGGGGCCCTTGCTAGCCCTGAGACCCAAGCCATGGGGCAGCTTGGATAGTACAGGAAGTAGGATTGTGGCTCAGTGACCAAGACCCACATTCCCCTTATCTAGACTACAAACCCCAAAAAGAGTCCCTTATGCCACATGTTGGCCAAAATCCTGGTTACTAGTGGGACTGGTGCTTGGTGGGTGGGAGAGTAAGAAGGGCAAGACCCCTTCTGGGGCCACTGTTCTCAGACCCCTGAGCCCAGCTGACTTGGGCCTGGTGGCTTCCGTTGATGACTAAGATGTTCTGGCAAAATCAGGGTTAATTGCAGGGTTAAAGGCTTACTCGTGGATGCTTGAGCCTGGGTAGGGACAGGGCGGGGAAGAGGCCTGATGTCTGGACCCAGCCCCAGTAGCATCACACCTGCCACGTGCCAACAATGGCATTCAGACTGGCCCATTTCTAGTTGGGCCACAGCCACCATACAGCTCCTAGGGCCACAGGTATTCTTGCCCAACAGGTGGAACCTCTCCTGACTGAGATGGCATGTCCTGCCACCCTGAGGGCTCACTTGAGCCAGGGACTAGTCTTAGCCCTGGACTGACAGGTCTGGTGGCTGTCAAGTCACCCACAATGCCACTAAAGACACCTACCTGGGGCCACGCCAACCTCTTTGGGTGGAAAAGTGCCCAGCTGCCAGCCGGTCCAAAGCTGCTCTGAGGTCTAGAACTCCCTTCCTGGATAGGTGGATGAGCTGAATGTTCTGGCTGTCCCCTTTGCAATCTTCTGGCTGTGCTGTGCGGAAAACTCACACAGGGAGCTTTTCCAAAACACAGCTCTGCCTGGCACCCCCACAAGTTCTTTTTTAATTGGTCTTTTTATTGGGTGGGGCCTAGGTTGTCAGGATTTTTTTAAAGCTTCCTGGGTGATCTTGACCTCTAGTTGGGTAGAAAAGAGCCTGGGGTTACAGATGGAGATGGAACCCCAGAGAGGCCAGAAAGCTGAGGTGAGGTCGCAAATCAGGCAGAAGCAGCAGGCCTCTGAGAAACCTGAGGCCTAGCCCCTCTTCCTTTTGGGTGGGGACCTAGACAAAGATCCCCCCTGACCTCTCTGCTCTGCTGAGTAAGGGGCTGCTGTGTCTCAGGGAAGGGGAGATAGGGTGGACCCAATCCAGGCTCTGAGCCTCCTTGGACACGTCAGTGAAACTGGAGCCAGCTATTCTGGCCGCCAGCACAGTCCCGCCTGCCTGGGGGGTTGGCAGACTCCTGGGGCTGGGCTGCTGCCAGGCCTGGCCAGCACCCAGACCAGAGGCCCAGAGCCACAGGGTTAGACCCATAGCACCCACCCCCATTCTACTCCTAAGTGCCTGGTACAGGAAAAGGTGTGTGGACTCTGCCCATCCCTGTGTTTGTCACCCAAGCTGTCCTCCTCCCAGCTGGGCACATGGCCTTCCCCAGGAGCATGAGATGTACCAGACTTAGGACTGATGTGATCACCCAGATGTCTGTGTTCTCTCTCACCCACTCACCTGTCCCTGCCTGATCCACAAGGAGGTGCCCACAAGTGTGTTGCACATTTAAGGATGGAGGGGCATTCTGGGTCCCCTGAGAGCTGTGATGACAAATGCCCTTAGTTTTCCTTACTCATAGAGCCCCTCCCAGAGGTCATATGCTGTGGAGAGATGGCCAGAGGATAGCTCACCCCCCACACCCCTTTCCAGAACTCAGGACAGCCCATCCCACTCCACTCCCACACCAGCCTGAGAGAGAAGGGCAGCCTTGTCCCTGGGCACAGGGCCTCTGTTGGTATGAAGGTGGTATAGAGTTCCTCTCCATGGAGGCCTCCAAGCCCATGAGACAGACAGGGTTCCAGGTTTACGGGTAACACCTCAGTTGCTAATGTTTACTGACCACTTGGCAAGTATTCTTAAGAATATACTGAATAAGGCCGGGCATGGTGGCGCATGCCTATAATCCCAGCACTCGGGAGGCTGAGGCAGGAGGATCACTGCCAGTTCGAGATCAGCCTGGGCTACACAGTGAGTTCCAGAGCAGTCTGAACTACATAGTGAGACCCTGTCTCAAAAAACCAAAAAACCAAAAAA